GCTGCAGGAGGAGGAGTGTTGATTGAGAGAATTGTTTAATCAACCACTGTGTAAGACATAATGCAGCGTTTGCACCAGCAACCACCCCAGATCCTTCCTAAGAAGTAACACATGACATGGGAGAATGTTAACTACCAAGCAAACATGGCGTCCCCTATGTCCACATTGTTAGCTACTTAGCAAAATGCATAATTTGTCTACGTCGTTATTTGGATCATTGTGCTCAGCAATATATACATAAAAGGTTTCAAAAGGAGGTGAATGGTACTGCCTGTTGTGTTCAGATGTGAGCACACTAGGAACAGTCCACTTTCTATTTTATAACTAAGTCCCTCAAAGTTTCCGTATCTCCAAGGGCTGTAGACACTTCCATGAGTCCCTGTACATCCAAACATAAACCAACTAAAAGCGATTCCAGTCTGTGAAAGGAGCAGAGATAACGTACAAGTTTAGCACTGCTCATGAACATTTGTTTTCTTCCTTACCCTTTCTGTCTTCCTTTCTAATTGTCTCTATTCACATTCGTTTGGTTTTCTAATCACTCATTACTAATTCAGAATCTGGTGCATATTAGTCTGCTTGGGCTACCACAAAGAATACCCCAGATTTGGTGACTTAAACAACAGACACTTATTTTCTCAGTTCTGGCAACTGGAAGTCTTAGAACAACGTCCCAGCAGAGTTAGTTTCCTCTGAGGCCTGTGAGATTGGCTTGCAGATGGCTGCCATGTAGCAGCTCTTCACCTGATTGACCCATGAGCACAGGCACCCCTGGTAGCTCTGTATATCCTACTACCTTATTCTCCTCTTATAAGGCTATCAGTCATCTTAGTTTAGAGCCCACACTAAAAGGCCTCCTTGTAACTTGATTACCTATTTAAAAGCCCTATATCCAAATACAGCAAAATTGTGAAGTGCTGCTAGTTAGGGCTCCTACAAGTGAAAATAAAAGGAGAGACACGATGTAATCCAAAACACCTGCCCAGAAGTGGCAATCTCTTCTCAATACACTCGGCCACATCAGGTAACACCACTTGGTCTCATCCCCAGAGGTGGCCTTTCTGACGTTCTCCACTCCCCACGGTGGTCTGACTGCTGGCGCTGAGAGCCTGCTGCTTAGGGTCCGCTTCCACCATCACTGTGGGAATTCCCATTCTCTCCTGCATGCTGGATCCCTTGAGTCTACTTCTTCTTCACTCACTCCTTGTTTTGGGTAAACAGCTTCCAGCAGCTTCCAGATAGTCGTGTAGTCTTTGAAATCTTTAATGCATATAAACAACTTTCTTTCACCTTCTTACTAGACCAAACTTTCGTCAGTATACAAAATTCTAAGTTAAAAAAAATTTCCCTTCAGAATTTTGAAGCCATAGTTCCAGTGTCTTCTGGTATTACTGAGAAGAGGTCTGAAGACATTCTCTACCCTTAGTTTTGCATATTTTCTTCTTTTTCTCCTGTTATTCCTCTTCTTCATTTCCCTTTTCCTTTTTCCTTTGGCTCTTCTTTTATTTCCTTCTCCCTGACCAGTATAGATCTTTTCAAGGCCTTACTGTATAATGAGTGGGCCCTCTCAATTTGATAACTTTTTATATGGAAAATTTGAATGTATTATGTCTTTCATAATATTCTGCCCGTGTTTTACAAAAATCTCTTTCTTAAATTCCTGTATTGCTTCTCCTTAACTATTATATTTTCTCATCTTTTCAATTCTTCTTTTACATTACTTGGTTTTACTGTTGATTTTATGATTCTTCATTCTTCAATGTTCCTTAGGTTTACCTTCTAGGCTTTTTATTAAATTATTCACGTGTTATCCCAGGTTTAATTTTCAAGAGCTCCTTAAGGTTCACTGAATGTGCTGTGTTGTTTTGTCATCTAGCCTACTATTCTTGTTTTATGTACCAGATTCTCGTATTACTAAGAATATTTAGAAAACACATATTTTAAAATTGATTTATTCTTCCAAAATTATATGGTATTGTTTTGTTTCCTCTGTGCTTCTCTTTTTGTGTCTGCTTTTTGTTTGTTTGTTTGTTTGCTTATTCCTTCTTGTTCTCTGTCAGAAATTTCCTCAAATCTCTATTGATATTTCGTGTTTCAATATAGTCAGAGTTAAGCACTCAAAAGAGGCTAGGATTTGAGTGACAGCAGAAAGCTTTTTTCACATAGCTTTTATTTTAGAATGATCAATTTTTAATATTGTACTTGGGAACACCAGGATCCATGCCTGTGCGTGCACATGCGTGTGCATGCACACAAACACACATACACACACACTTTTGGTTGACTGATAGAAAGCATTTTCTGTTGCGGTGAACCATTTCCCATGAGGAAACTCCCCAATCCTGTGTCAATGTCAACAGAGACATGGATAGGGTGGCAATGGTTCTCAGAGCCATTTGGGAAAGTCATATCACATTCAGTGAGGCAACTTGCTCTTAATTCCCTTAATTTTAGTAGCATGGTACCTAGACTCGTAACTGTAGCTGGTGTCTCTGAGTAGAGGGTATCCCTGGATCTAAATCTCCAAATAGTAAATTCTGTTACAAAGATCAGGAAAGTAACCAGCAATGGATATGTGGAGGGGTTCAGCAAACCCACTTTTCTTACAGACTTCTAACCAGTATTCATATATTCAGTTATACACATAACCCGACTTCAGAGACATCTGGTACCTCTGCTTTCTGAGACTCTTGGGGTTCCAATGCAAAAAAGCAGCCTGCTTCTAATGTGTTTCCCCTCTCAACTTAAAATTTTAACTTCCTTCACTGTTGCCACTCATCCATCTGCTTTGTAGCTTGCAAAATTATTATTAATATAAAATTAGTATTGTCTCATCTACCAAATCTGTTGTCCTCATAGGCGTGAATCTTCTTACTCATTTCCTCCAATTCAGTAGTGTCAGGAGAAAACAGAATGCATTCAATTAACTAAAAGCTTCCAAATTCACATAAAAAAGGGTACCCTAGAAGATATGTATTTATTTCCTAATGCTTACACCTCCCTTATTACACAAAGATAATACACACGCTGAAAAACTGCCAGCATTTTAAAGCCAAATTGCCACTCGAGGGGCACAACACTCACCATTACATGAGTCAACCAATTACAGAAACACTTGATTATTTTCAGTTCAAATTCATTTCTTCAATAAACATGTTTGGAGTACCTACTTTGTTGAACCTAGTAAGAAACGATTAAAGCAGTGCTTAAATGAACTGATGAGGGTCTGATCTGAATTAAGGTAGTCATTGTAGAGAAAGCTGGGAGCAGAAACTTTTTTTCAAATATATATTTCGAAAAAAAATTTGTAAGTTTTCCAATCATTTTTTGGTTTATCCCCTGTTATGAGTTTTCTAGGGCTGCCAAACAAAGTACCACAACCTAGATGACTTAAACAACAGAATTGTATTGTCTCACGGTTCTACAGACTGGAAATCGGAAATCGAGGTGTTGGCAGGGTTAGGTTCCTTGAGGGCTGTGAGGGAAAGATCTGTTCCAGACCTCTTTCCTTGGTATGTATATTGCTGTCTTCATGTTTACATGGTGTTTTCCCTGTATATATGTCTGCCTCCAAATTTTCTAGTCATATTGGATTAGTGCCTATCCTAATGGTCTCATTATAAATTTATTACTTCTTTCAAGACCTTATCACCACATAAGTTCACATGCTGAGTTACTAAGGGTTGGGATTTCAACATGTGAACTTTGTAGGGCCACAATTCAGCGCATAGCAGCTCACTCCAAATAAAAGATAAGAAAATCAGTTTAAACACTTTAGACGGATAAGTAATTTAGATAAATTAGAGTGAGGACAAAACAGAGCCTGCCACATTCAGGACTTAGAGTCATAAATTAATGCAAAAGAGCATGCCTATATCCAAAAGAGGATAGACATACACCTGAAAGACCTACGCACATTTTGCCTTTTCTCCAGTCTCTTTAGAAATCACCGACTGTTCTCATTTGTCCACACACCACAGGTATGACTAGAGACGGAGTCATTGGCTTAGAAACACTGGAGGTAGTAAAATTTACTGAACATAAAATAATGAAGCTTTTTTTTTTTTTTTTTTTTTTTTTTGAGACAGTGTTTCGCTCTTGTGACCCAGGCTGGAGTGCAATGGCGCGATCTCGGCTCACCGCAACCTCCGCCTCCCGGGTTCAGGCAATTCTCCTGCCTCAGCCTCCTGAGTAGCTGGGATTACAGGCACGCGCCACCATGCTCAGCTAATTTTTTGTATTTTTAGTAAAGACGGGGTTTCACCATGTTGAACCAGGATGGTCTCGATCTCTCAACCTCATGATCCACCTGCCTCAGCCTCCCAAAGTGCTGGGATTACAGGCTTGAGCCACCGTGCCTGGCCTGAAGCATTTTTTAAATAATAAAAAAATTAAATATAGTTTATACCATTTAATTTCGTTTATACCAATATTTGACTTACAAAATTTAATTTAGTTGTAAGTTTAATAGAACTGTGGATCTGAAAATTGCATCATAAATATTGTATAAGCCAAAGGTTACCAAAGTGAAATGTGTTTCAGAATTACCTGGGAGCTTTTAAAAATATAAAGATTCTTAATTCCCACCCAAATATCTTGAATAGAAGGTTCTCAAATGCATATTTTTAAGAAACTCTCCACTTGGTTCTAATGCCTGATCCATCTGTTTTGTCTTAACTTTGAAAAAATTGAGGCCACTTTAACAAAATTACATCTCATAAGACATATTTAATTTAAAAAAATGGTCTAGTTCTATTTCTATGTGATTCATTTTGATCAATAGATCATGAGAGGATGTGTAGAAACTATTTGAAAAACACTTTCGTTAATACAATGATTCAACGGTTCGTATGGAAAAGACAGCTCAGTAATATTTGTTTCCTTTAGTAAAACTTTAAGGTTACCAATATTTAATGTTGGCGGATTTTTAAAAATTCAAATTTAAAAAAATCTTCTAAAATGGAAAGCACAACTTACTAAAAGAGATTTTAGAAACTTACAGATGATGTCCTATCCACTTCACAACGGCTACTGAGAATAAAACAGGCCTCAGCGTCATCCATCCTAAATACAGACAGAAAAAACAGAATAATCACACACTGAAGTATCTACAAAAGTGAATTTCTGAAAAACAGAATTTCACTTTTTAGTTCATATATTGCAAAAAATTTACATGAAGACCATGTGTATCTATAAGCTTAAATCAAAGGTGAATCTCTAGCAGATCATGACTATGTTTGATTCTGAACAAAAAGAAAATCTATTACTCGATTATCTATTATAACTTAGTGGTCTATGACAAAAGTTAAAAAAAAAAAGCCATTCCTTTTTGTGATTAAATGTATTTTTATATGTATGCTTTGAGTAAATTAATGGGATATATTGGTCTTTATTTTATGATTAATTGCATTTTAACTGTAATGTCAGAATCGAACTAAGAGGGATGGAACAGAGCTGCTCAGGATTCCTAAGTCAAACTGCACTCTGTATTTATACTTCCTGGAGATCATTCATTATCTTATTGCAACCCCCTTCCCCTCATGCTAGGGTTCAATATTACTTAAGTTTAGTGACAAAGACACAGTATATTTTAGTGTTTGATACATGATGTTCTAAAAGCACAAGAAAGTTTACTTTCAAAAAGAGGAAAGAGTTATCTCTGTGGTTCACTGTGATAAAGTAAATCTTTAAAAAAAAGATGTTTTCTATGGAGAGGAAATATGAAAGTCTTTGAAATAAGACCAAGCCAAACAGTTCTGGGAAATGTTGCGCCATGGTTATTAAGATAATATGAGTGTTGGATAACTTTTTCTAAACACCGTTTTCAACAAAGCAATTCAAAACTCATGCATCTAACCTTTGAAACTTGTTTAGAGAATACTACTCCATGCTCTATGTATGAGGAACTGCTCTGAAAAATGTGTTCGTTTATATTAAATCCCAAATCTTTTATATGAATTTAAGATTGAAAATGAACATAAAAATGGATACTGTGTCACTCTAATTTATTTTAAAAAATAGCTTTCTGAGTATGGCCAGCCAGCTACCTATCTCTCTCCTTCGTTCCTTTCTCTTTTCTTTTATTCCTATGGAGGAATTCTTCTTAAAAATGTGATAGCTTTGGCCGGGCGCGGTGGCTCAAGCCTGTAATCCCAGCACTTTGGGAGGCCGAGGCGGGTGGATCACGAGGTCGAGAGATCGAGACCATCCTGGTCAACATGGTGAAACCCCGTCTCTACTAAAAATACAAAAAAATTAGCTGGGCATGGTGGCGCGTGCCTGTAATCCCAGCTACTCAGGAGGCTAAGGCAGGAGAATTGCCTGAACCCGGGAGGCGGAGGTTGCGGTGAGCCCAGATCGCGCCATTGCACTCCAGCCTGGGTAACAAGAGTGAAACTCCGTCTCAAAAAAAAAAAAAAAATGTGATAGCTTTTACTAAGGAATAATTTTAAAACTACTGGTAATAAATTAGTTATATTAATCCTAAATATTATATAGGTTAGATAGTAATAGCTAATACCAATAACTCAGATAAAGTTATTAGAAAGAAGCCTCCATTTATTACACAAAGTCATATTGAACATAGTATTATTCACGCTTACTGTGTGAAGAACATAATTGTCTTACAATAAATTAAGTATACTGATTATCTACACAGATGAATACAGTGATCTAGATTATAGTAGTATCTAAGCGTCTATTTTTCTAGCACACCTAAATAATGAGTATAGATAGCAAACAGCAAACATCTAAAGCCAGGGTTTGCCTGAGTGCTGGGAAAAGCTGATGACTTATAGAATGTCACAAGTAAAATGACCACAAATATAAAATATTGAATACACCAAAAAGATGAATATACTCACAAAGAAATGTATCTTTCCAATTATATCCTGCTAGTTCCTAGTGATTTTTTTTGTTTCAGAAATTAAATTGTTGAAAAAAAAGCTCCATTAAACCGACTTTATTATATATAAATCGAAAGTAACATCAGAGTTCCTGACCAGGCATCTAGCCATCATTTGAAGGATTACACAGCAAAAAGTAGTTCCAAAGTTTGTTCTACAAAACAGCTAACTTTTCTTCTGCTCGTTTCCATCACTCACTAGACATACACACACACACACACACAAACACATATGCACACAGTGAAGACAGGCACAAACACACACCCACTCACACACGCTCAGGTTATGCAGGAAAGAAAGTGTAAAGCACTTGGACTACACAATTCAGTGGGGAGACTTTTAAATCTAGAGGAGCATGTAGGACAACTCAAAGATACACATGAAGACATGTTTAAAACTTTAAAAACAGCAGACAATATTGAGCAAAACCACTTCTGTTGAAGATATCTTCTGGCTTCTGAAACTAAGGAGACTGTTTTGCAGAAGGCCTGATTCCCTGGTGTCCACACTCTGCCTGATACTGCTCACACTCTGCTCATGTGATATAACTCGGTAACCTGGGTAACCTGTGACAAATGTTTAAGACTGTGTCACCTTTGAGCCAAGTTGCCTGGTACCTGCACAAAAAGAATACGGTAGCTAAGTAAGACCTGTCACCTTTCTGATTCCTCTAGCCCGCAGCAACCGTTTCGGCTCTGACCCCAGGCAACACAACTGCTATCTGTCCAACACGTAGTGCAGGCTCTTTGAAATACAAACTCTGACTCACACTGTACTGGTATATCACATCACATCTAGCCCATGATTTTTATTTATGGGATAACAACAGTATTCAGGGATTTGGAGACTACTCTATCAGTGAGTCTGGATACCTCAGTGAATCTCTGACAGCTGAAGATAATTACAGGGGGCCACTTTTCTCATTGTGTTGTGTGGTCAGGGTCTGCTGAACAATTTTGTCTTGAGATGAGGCTGAAAAGAGGAGTAAACACACTGATTTTATTATATATTTTTAACCTTTCAGTTTGATCAGCAGAGGAACTAAGACAAAAGACTTTACTCAAAGATACTGAAACACATCTTGTGACACTGAAAATTGCTAATATTTGGCAGAAAGACAAAATATTAAGTCACTCAAAATTGTAAGATGCAAGATGAAAGACAGAGATACCTACTTTGCTCTCAACAGGTCTTGATCTTTAAGGGCTGAACCTTGAAGATAGATAACTCTTTGGGACCACATTGGAATCTGCAGTACCCTTCGGACTTGCACATCCATTTCAGTAGGACACAAAATCACCACATAATAATCCTATTCAAAACAAAATGGGCATTGGGATAGAAACAATAATGTTTTCTATTATACTACATAGGAAAATCAGAAAAATCTGAAATATGATAAAACTGAAATCGACTTTTGCTAATAAAATTTCACATTTAAAACCTGGGCATAAATTAAATAACACTGCACACTTATAACACAACTGGGACACACGCAAATCTCATAAAACAATAAATTCATCTCAACTTATTTCCATCTTACTAGGGCCATAGGGAAGGTAATCGGTGGTTATACCTGGCATGCACTTTCAGCTTGTAAAGTTTTTAGTTCTAAGACTGATCCTAAAATATACACTGAACACCAAGCAGAAGCATTTAAGTATCAATTCATACTTCAAGTCATTATTTTGAGAATCAAAACTATGGTAGTGATTTATATCATTCGGTTATCCTATTATGAACCAATAATTTTGAACAGTTTCTGACGGATATTTGAATAAATAAGGATCCATAAAAACATTGCAAATACTGACAAAGCAAACTAACTGAACGTGTTATCAAAATATTTCAAAATATATGGTCCTTTGGAGAAAGTTTTAAAAAACAACAAATAAGTATGGAGTTGCTATTAAAAATGCAAGTTAACTTATATGAAAAGAAAAGAATAAGAACAAAATGATTTTGCCCACTTAAGACAGAACAAAATGGTTCTATCATTTAAGAATCAATTATAAATTAGGTGTATTAAAACACAAAAATATGGTATTCATAAAGGTCTCCATAATGTTCACAAATTAATATTTCTATGTTCTGTAAGAAAAGGATAATTAGATATAGTAAGCATTGTCTTGATGTCAGGAGTTATTCAACTTCTTGACACAAATTTGTTGAGGAAATACACCTTCAAATAGACTAGGTGCAGTAAGCTGGAAAGGAAATAACTGCTGTGGCCAATAGCAGCAAGTGGAAATATTCAAGAATTTTGTCTGCATAGACAGAAAAAAAGTTTCTTCTTAATTCATATTCTCAATTTGGCTAGTTATTGTCTAATTTTTGGTCATGCATTCCTACTACAAATAGCACCTATTTATACTTACGGAAATGAAAGAAAAAAGTGGAAGTTCCAGGCTTCCACATTTCCATTAGCAATCTTTGATAAAATTCTGCAGTGTTTAACTGAGTAGATGACACTGAAATGGTTTCTTTCTTGTTTAATTGTATTTTATCTTAAAATTCACTGTTTCACAAAAATATCACTTATGCTCTACCCAAGGGACAAAAAAGCAATCCTTTAATTCAAAGAAAAATTTTCTTTGTAGCATTAACATTATTCCATCTGTCTTTTAGCGTACATACAGAAGGACACTTAAAATACTGTGTATTCCTCCAGCATTTTTTTTCTATGTTCCTGGTTATATTTGTAGTTCTTCATTTACTCTTTCTATATTTGGGTGTATAAATAAAAATCCTCCACAAAGCAGGCTGAACCATCAGTTAACTGACTTTGACAATATGTTAGTTGATAGGTATGATTCAGTATAATATATACTATAAGCTGAATGTACCTGGAGTCTAGGATGAGCATAGAATTCGTTTAGAAAATCCATAAGTAAATCGATCTTCAGCGAGCTGACACACAGAACAACGTGCTTTTCCGTTTGAGCTCTGTGTCGACTATAGTTCCCCCCTGACTTCTGTCTCTCCATCCACAAATAAGCCAGCTGTTCAAACTGCAATGTATTTTCCACATGTGAATGAAAAACATGGTAAGAAAATAAGTAAATCAATGCAATACATCTATTGTTTATTAGGTACTGTCAATTTCGTAGACAGACCTCATTAAGATTCTAATTGTCGGTGTTCCCCTTCAACAACAGATTTTCCATATAATTTCTACAGATGCTGCAAATGCCTCCCAGGGGCTTCAGGTCTCTAAAGAAACATATTAACATGATTTTGCTATCACATAAGAACAGGCCACTAAAAGATCTGTGCCTCTGCTTTATGTCCAGTAGAGCTGAGCGAAAGAGAAAAGCTTCATTGTTATTTTTCCACATTCTCTCTCAAGTTCTACCCACATCTCATGTAATAGGAATTACTCTTAACACGCACAGCCACATTCTAGCTGTACAGTAGCCAGGAATGGAAGAAAATGAAAGGTGCAAGGGAGGGATGTCAGGAAGAAAGACATGCATGAATTTACAGAAGTAGGAAGGCCATTTTTGTAGATATTTAGATACATTGCGGCCTACGTTTTACAATAGAATATGCAAGTTTGATTTGCTTTTCCCCACAACCTGTGTCTGATCTGCCCACACATGGGCACACAGGGCTCATTATAGGAATGGGTTAGAGACTGCATTTACTTATTTTTAATTCCATTTATATATCTGCACCTTTGCAACCTCCCTACTCACTCCTCAAAGTGCCACATAATATAAAATATGTTCAGACTTTGTTTTCAATTTTTTTTTTTTTGTAGAGATGGGGTTTCACCTTGTAGCCCAACTTCATCTTCAACTCATGGGCTCAAGCCATCCACCTGCCTTGACCTCTCAAAATACTGGAATTATAGCTATGAGCCATTGCACCTGTCCCAGATTTTGTTTTAGTTGACCAAAATAACTAATCAATTTTTTTTCATTGCAGTATATGATTATGTGGTTTATTTTGAAGAACCAAGAGAAATCAACCCTTCACAAATTCATTTTTTCGATCTACCATCCTATAAATAAAAACTACAGCCGGGTGCGGTGGCTCACGCCTGTAATCCCAACACTTTGGGAGGCCAAAGTGGGTGGATCACGAGGTCAAGAGATCGAGACCATCCTGGTCAACATGGTGAAACCCCATCTCTACTAAAAAATACAAAACATTAGCTGGACACGGTGGCATGTGCCTGTAATCCCAACTACTCAGGAGGCTGAGGCAGGAGAATTGCCTGAACTCTGGAGGCGGAGGTTGTGGTGAGCCGAGATCACACCACTGCACTCCAGCCTGGGTAACAAGAGTGAAACTCTGTCTCAAAAAAACAAAACAAAACAAAAAAACTACATTATTCTATATTTAATATAGTTAAGTACTCTATATTTTTTTTAAAAAAGCATCTTGAAGGATTTAAATAAGATGTGCACTGTCAGTTACGACCGGAAGGAAAAAAACCAACTTGGTGTTTCTAATAAAATGTAAAATAACATTTCTGCAATAATTATGTAATTGGTTAAATGTAATGATAGCATGTGTTAGCAAATTACTGTTAGATAAATAAACTACTTTCCAGTTCTTATTAAAAATGGAGGATTCCATTTTATGTCTCTGTATATTTCTAGACGATGTAAGATGGTTATGTTTACCTGTATGGGTAGAACCACAAGAGCAACACAAATCATAGCAACGACAAAAAGCTTGGAGGACCATGTTTCAGGAGTGACATCCCCGAAGCCCACGGTAGAAAACGTTACAATGCAGAAATAAAGGGAGTCGAAGAGATTCAGCTTCTTTCCTATTCGTTCCAGATGTTGGATCCCACAAATGCTAAGGAAACAAATATGAATTAAAATTAAATCTTTCCAATTGGACACAATATTTCTCATCATCATTCTTTTGAAAGCCAAAGCACATTTCATAAAGCCATTTAATAGTCAGGCTCTTATATTTCACAATGTATTTTTCTAAGAAAAATATAATTAGTAAGTTCTTTTCCTACATTGACCAGATGTGGTCTTATTTTGATTAATAGCCAAAAATGGGAGTAAAACTATCACACAGCATAATTAAGTAACATGCAAAATGAACAGACAATTTCATGGGTGATACACAAAGACAATGAATGACCATCAAGAAAACATAGACACCAGAAATCGCTACATCTAATCCCTTCCAAAATACCAAGTCTTTTCTTTTTCTTTTCTCGTAATTTAGGAAGAAGAGAAAGACAGTAAAAAGGTTGAGGAATTAATAATTGCCAACTGCTATAGTTTCAATGCTCTCCCCTCTAAAACTCATGTTGAAATTTAATTGCCATTGTACCATACTAAGAGGTGAGACTGTGGGGTTCCACCAACATGAATGAACTAATGTTGATATCGTGGGAATGGGCTCACTCACATGCGTGCGTGCACGCTCACGCGCTCTCTCTCTCTCTCTCTGTCTGTCTCTCTGTCTCTGTCTCTCTCTCTCTCTCTGTCTGTCTCTCTCTCTCTGTCTCATGTGCGCTTTCTGTCTTTGCCCTTCTACCATGTTTTGAGATAGTAAGAAAGCCTTCACCAGTTGTTACCAGCACCTTGTTCTTGGATTCCCAGCCTTCAAAATCAGTATGAGCCAATACATTTCCATTGATTATATTCAGTTTCAGGTTTTATCTTATAGCAGCACAAAATGGACTAAGACACCAAATGATTCTTAAAACAAGTCCTTAAATGAATCAATCATTTGTACAAAGCTATTGATGAAGTGACAGTAAGAGAACAGTGTAAAAGTTGTTAGATGCCCTCAAATTAGAAATTTGTTAAAATAGCATTATAAATAATGCTGCTATTAGCAAAAAAAAAAAGGCAAGGTGAGATTATGAATAATAAAATATATTGTGCAATGTTGGAGGACGATGTAAGATTTGCAACATAGCAATCGGCATATAATTGCTATGGTTTGAATGTCTGTCTCCGCTCCAAAATTCATGTTGAAACTTAAATTCACAATGCAACATTATTAAGAGGTGGGCTTTAGGAGGTGATTAAGTCTGGAGCTCTCAAGAATGGGATTAGCAACCTTATGAAAGTGTTGGAAGGGAACTAGCTAGGCCTCTTTTTGCTTTTATGCCTTCTGTCATGTGAGGACACAGCAACTATGCCTCATCCTGATGAGTGAAAAGGCCCTCACCAGATACCAAATCTGTGACCCCTTGATCATGAACTCCCCTGCTTCTGGAACTGTGAGATACATAATTCTATTGTTCATAAACTACAGAGTCTCAGATATTTTCTTACAGCAGCACAAATGAACCGATACAGAAATTGACACTGAAAAGTAGGGTGTTGCTATAACAAATACCTAAAAATGTGGAAGCAGCTTTGGAATTGGATAATTGTTAGAGACAGGAACAGTTTTAGGGTACATGCAAGAAAAAGCCTAGATTTCCCTGAATGGAGTGTTTAAGGACAATTTTGGTGAAAGCCTAAATCTTCTTACAGATTAAACAGTTATGACCAGAATATTGGTGGAAATATAGACAGTAAAGTCCTTTCTGATGAGTTCCTAGACAGAAATAAGGACTATCTAATTGGAAACTGGAGGGAAGGCCATCCTTATTATAAAGTGGCAAAACTTGGTGAATTACGTCTGTGTCCTAATATTTTGTGGAAGGCCCAGTTCAAAGGTGGTGAACTAAAATATGTAGCAGAAGAAAGCTCTAAGCAAAGCGTTCAGGGTGATGCACTGTATTTCTTGACTGGTTTTAGTAAAATGCCAGAAGAGAGAAATTGACTAAAGATGAAATTTATAATCAAAAGGGAAGCAGAACTTACGAATTTGAAAAATACCCAGCCTGGTCAGATTGTAAAGAATAAAAATTGTGTTCCAGACAAAACACCAATAGTTTGTCCAAGCAATCATGCAATAAGGAGATTCTTACAAGATAAAAGGAAACCAGGTGCTCTTCATCAAAACAATGGAAGAATAACCCTGAAGGCATTTTGGAGCTCTTCCAGAGTGTCACTCCCCTCACGGGCCCAGAGTGTGAAAGCTTTGAGGGCAGCACAGTTTCAACAGAGGAAACCAGGACATCTTTGAGGTCTCAAGAGTAGGCTTTCTTCATTCTGGTGCGGTGCTCTTTGGCCACCCCAAGTGGTGGTGAAGCAGGTGCAAGAGTGACTCAGGATGCTGCTATAGAAGTCAGAGGTGGTAATCCTTAGTGGCATCCATGTGATGCTAATTTTGAGCATAAGCTGTGAAGGCATGGTTAACTTCCCCCTAGATTTCAAAGGATGCCCCGGAAAGCCTTGGGGCCAAGAAAGAGAACTACCACAGGGATATGCCCACACATAGAGTCCCCACTAGGGCAATGCCTGGTGCCACAGGAGTGGAGCCATCCCTGAGACACCATAGCTGTAGTCACCAGCATGAAATGCCAGTATGCAGAGCTGGAGATACCAGACCTCAACCCCATAATTGCTGCTAGGTGGACTATGCCAAGCAAAGCTGAGAAGATGAGCTATAACAAACATAAAAATGAGCTATAGCAACATCCTCCTAGAGCCCAGTGTGGGCCAACCCCTCCCCAGTGTGACCAGAAGTCAAGACATGGAGTTAAAAGTTACTCTCAAACCTCAGGATTTAATATTGTTTTTCTTGTTGTATTTCTAACTTCGTTGGGACCTATTACCCATTTCTCCTTGCCTAGTTCTCCCCTTTGGATTGACAATATCTATCCTATGCCTGTCTCACCATTGTATTTTGGAAGCACAAAACTTGTTTAATTTCACAGGCTCACAGCTGAAAACTAATTAGCCTCAGGATGAATCATGCCTTGAGTCTCACCCGTATCTAATTTAGGTGATATTTAGATGAAACTTTGGGCTTAAGAGTTGGTGTCGGAACAACTTAAGACTTTAGGGGCTACTGGAGTGAAATAAAATGTATGTTGTATGTGAGAAGGACATGCATTTTGATGCGCCAGAAGCAGACGGCTATGGAGCGAATGTCTGTGTCCCCTCCAAAATTCACACTGAAACTTAAACCACACAATGCAACATTATTAAGAAGTGGGGTCCTTACGCGGTGATTAAATGCATGAGGGTGGAGCACTCACGAATGGCATTAGCAACCTTATCAAGTTGTGGAACAGAACCAGCTAGGCCCTTTTTGCCCTTCTGCCATGGAAGGGTACAGCAGTAAGGCCCCACCCTGAAGGAGAGAGAAAACCCCCAACAGATGTTAAATTTCCAGCACCTTGATCTTGGCCTTCACAGATCAAGGATTGTGAGAAAGAAATTTCTATTCATGTATTAGGCAGGCTCAGGAATTTTGTTATAGCAGCACAAACAGACTAATACAATCATGCAATACTACTCAGTAAATAAGTAAGTAAAAATTAAAATGAGCCAAGTTCTGGATGAATTGCAAAAACACGATGAGTGAAAGAAGTCTAACATAAAAGACCACATGCTGTATGATTCTGTTTATATGAAATATCCAGAAAAGAACCAGCAAATCAGTGGTTGCCTGGGACTGATGGTGGGAATGTGGTGGTGAAAATATTCTAAAACTGAATTGAGGTGACGGTATACATCTCTTCATCTACATAACTTTGAATATACATGAAAAAATCTAGAATTTACACTTGAAATGAGTAAATTTTATGATACATATATTATACCCCTATAAAACTATTTTTAAAATCAGTGTATATTTGTGAACAGTCACTATGGCTTCTGGACACTACAAGCACATGGCTTAATTACAACAACCCTGAAGAAATAAATATTCAATGTTTACTTTCCAGAAATTCTTTTTCCAGCCTTTTCAGATAACCTCCTTATTTGTCTAAGTTACGTAGCAGACAGATTCTACTGTCTTTATGCATATATATATACATATTTTGGTACAGTCAAGTATGAGCTTATGAATGGTTAGGTAGACGGGTAGGTTCACAGGTAGATGGACCAAGAGACAGAAGAGGGAAAGGAAGATACATGTCATCATTTTAATTGTATAAAACTGTTGTGTGAGTTTTCTTTATTTGCTTTTTTCCCTTTTTTTTTTTTTTTTTTACTTCAGGTCTCTAAAACGGCACAGCAAAATCACTCGTTTTACACTTAAAAATTTGGTGTGAGCTGCCAGATTATAAGCACACTTAAACCAATGAGTGGATTCATATCAGTTTGTTGGCTCAGCTGCCCCTATAGAATATTGCCAAACTAATTATGAGAATATTCAGATTAGCCTAATACCACCAAAAATTGAATTGTATGATACTTCTGTAAAGTCGGGTTTTAAAATTTTCTTTAAAATAACATATGTTGGAGAATGTAAACAATTTATGCTTAATTTCTTTATACTTCACTAGAAAATAGAGAAGAAAGGAAAATAATATATATTTTAGTGATTGAAATACTGAGCATTTACATGTTTGAGTATGCATTAAAAGTCAATCTCTGATTATAGTTAAAATGTATACTTCCAAATTCAAACATGTATTTTCTAGATCTAAGCTACCAGAAAAGTCTCCTACCGTGCTTCCAGGTCTTTGGACTGTCCTCTTAACATAACGTACTCATAAGGGTAGTATTAATATTCTTTAAACACGGCGCACCCTCAGACTCAAAAAGCTACAGGATTCTCACTGTTCGAAGAAACCTCTATAATCTGTAGTTTGATAGATTCTTATAATAGCCGCCAACAAATCAAGTCCTCGTATATTCAACAAACTCTTCATTTGCAATATAATGTTGCTGTACCATCCATGAAGATATGAAGTCAATGTCTTCAGGTCCTTGAGTCCCAACTGGACTAATGACTTGCTTTGACCAATAAAAGGA